TTCTCATGAATTTGTTCATGATTGACTTTGTTAAAGAAAACGTCACTCGGTTTTTCTTTAGTGATTGTGTGGGTAGTTTTGTTATACTGTTGGGCAGATCTCAATATGACTTCCAAGTCATTTACAAGATTATATTCTTGTTTAATATATGTACCAATCTCAACAATTGTTGAGTGAATTCTTTCCACTTGACCGTTTGTTGACTGTGACGAGGATCACAATAGTAAAGAAGGATATTCATCCTTTGTGTTAGTTAAATTCTAAGAATAAAGATTATGTATGTTGATCCTTTTTTCGAGTCAGCACAACTGGGTACTTTTACTCTTTGATAGCTGGGGGTACTACAGGGTCCCAGCCATCTCATTGACTAATTTGTGTATTCCTTATAAGTTTCATGATGATTCAGTGTTTGATCTAAGATCTGCGTACCTCCCCGTGCGAAGAGTGATGACTCTAAGATTGGATAGTGGTAAGTAGGATAGCCTGTCAATTTTCGCATATAACTTCAGGGCTCTGTCCCTTATGTATTTTTTAATCGGGTCTATTCTAAGGTCTCTTAGTATGTCGTTTGGCGGATGTACCAAGGCACTTTGAAGAGCCTTCGGAGGGTCTGACTTTGAGCGACTTGTAGGTTTTGTTTAGTAGAGTCAGCAGCTTTGCTATACGCGAAACACCCATAAAGGAATGCTGGTTTAATTATCTGGCTATAGATCAGTTTTCTGTTTTTTACGCTAAGGTTGTTGTATTTGAAAAGTGGTTGTAAGCATTGCAGAGTTTTAGCGCAACTGCTTCTTTTGACTTGTGTATGCTTATGCCAAGTGAATCGCTTATCAAACGTGATACCTAAGTATTTAATGCTATCCTCCCAATTAATCACGATGTCACCAACTCTTACTCTCGGTGGATGTTGTCTCTGTTTACGTGTAATAAACAGGGCTTTAGTTTTCTCATTGATAATTTTTATTTTCCATTTATGGAAGAACCCCAGGATGAGATTAATATGCTCCTGCAGCGTGTTGGTCACATTTCTGGCAAGTTGATCAGAATATAACAAGCATGTGTCATCTGCGTATAAACATAATACCGAAGGACTTAGCATTGGGATGTCAGACGTGTAGATGTTGTACAACAAGGGGAAGAGCGGGGATCCTTGAGGAACACCCGCTTCTATTCTTCGTACTGATGAGGTGGTACTGTTGATTCTTACATGGAACATTCTTTCGCGAAGGAAGCTGCCAAGGATTTTGATCAACCCAACTGAGATACCAAAACGAGACATTTTAATTATAAGGCCGTCGTGCCACATCTTGTCAAATGCCTTGGCGATGTCAAAAGTAATCATACCCGTTGATTCCCTTCTGCTCAGGGCAGACTGTATCATCTGAGCTGTTCGCAGGAGTTGTAATTCTGTGGAGAAATCTTTCCTGAAACCAAATTGCTCATCGGGGAGAATATTCAGCGAGTTCACCGAAGTTTTAAGTCTATCTAGGATCACTCTTTCAGCTAACTTACCCAGAGCTGACACTAAACTAATCGGGCGTCAGTTCTGCGGGTACTTCGAGTCCTTGCCGGGTTAAGGAAAGACTACAACTGTGGCCTGTTTCCAAATTTTAGGATATTCACCTAGCCTAAACATACAATTTATTATATTTGTAATGAGATGGATCGCATCTTCCGGAAGGTTACGTAAGCATCTGTTGTTAATTTTGTCGTACACTGGTGCAGATCTTATCTTCAATCTTGAGATAATTAGAGCAATTTCATCACTAGAGCAAGGCACGATGTCTCCATCAGGCTCTTGAGCCAAGATATTGTAAGCCTCCTCGGTGATATGTTCTTCCTCTTCAGAGTCATAATCATAGTCTTCGTTTGGCTAGAATTGAAGCTCCAAAGAGTCAGCAAAGGCCTCGGCCTTTTCTATATCTGTGTACGCTATGCCAGTCGTCCTATGAATAGGCGGCACTGCCCATTTGCGTTTCAACCTGAAGTATTTGTTTATGGCCCAGAAGGATTTATTACCGGTTTCTAGTCCCAATAGGAATCTGCCCCAGTTTTCATTTCTGAAGATACCAATCTTTCTTCTGATTTCCTTAGACAGTCGGCTGGCTTCTATTCTACTTCCCGGGTCTCCAGTAATCTAGGCAAATTTACGGACTCTATTACGTTGCCTGATCATGTATTTAATATGTTGAGGAATGTTAAAGTAGTTGCTGGGTTTTCTATTTTTAATGGTAGAGCTGTTATCTAAAGCCTCCTTAATTTGATACGTATGGTTTCGAATACTTTCCTCCAGGTCCATTAAGGTTTCAGGTTGATTCAACCCTCCTCCAACATCTACTAGATTCTTAAAGGCGGCCCAGTCCGTGGTAATGAACGTGGGAGTCGTAATGTTAATGATGCAGTTCTCTAAAATAAATAATACTGGTTTATGGTCCGAGTCCAGCTCGTCTAAGACTTCAGTAAGCACAATAAAGTCTAGGTTATTAGATATGCCAAGATCTATAATGTGGCCGATTCCTCTACCATAGTGAGTTGGCTCGTTAGGCACGTGTAGCTGCAGTAAGTGGTCAATGGTGAATTGGGCGATCTCCCTACCTGCACTATTGTTATTAAATTGCGCTTCAAGGTCTCCTAGATAGGTTTGTATATTCGGTGGCCTATAGACTGAGGTAAAGTTAATGTTACCTACCAGACTATCCACCACCACTGTAGTTGTTTCAAGCGCGAGCAGGTTGTTAGAAATTGTGTGATGTTTGATAGGTTTTTTTGATAAGAATAGTTGTTCCCCCACCTCTTCTGGATACTCTGTCTGATCTATAGATGTCATAGTTGGAAATTTTCAGTTGCAGAGACGGTTTCAGGAAAGTTTCTTGTATCAACATGATATCTATATCCATTTCATGTAGTAATTGGATGATTTCATATTCTTGTTAATTATAGAGTTTGCATTCCAGGTCACAACTTTAAATCTGCTCAGTGTAGCATTCATTCCCCAGAGAGAGTAGGTAACCGGCTTTGCAGCATGGTCTGCATTATATTCTTCATAGCTGTGTTGAGTTGTGCTTGAAAGTTCTCCATCAATTTCTCTAGATGAGAGGCGGACAGAGAATTGGTAGTTTTGTTGTGCCGTGCAGCCTGACATCATTGCATCAGCATAAGACCTTGAAGGCATAACAGAAAAGTTTAGTTTTGAAGAACACACTACCTTTTACTTCTTGCCTACAAACAGGAAGAAACAAAACAGTGGCGACGAGGATAAATTTGTAGTAGCATATGTAGCATATGTAGTAGCATATGTCACAATGGACGTAGCAGCCGTTAAGGAATTGCTCAAGCAGCAACAAGAAATTAATAAGAAAATGTGGGAAGATCAGCGAGCATTTTTCAAGGAAATGTTGGTTGGGCGCGTGTCAGATGGTCAAACTAATGATGTACCTGCATTTCATGCATACAAAAAGCAATTGCATTGTTGGGAAACTTATTTGGAGCAGCTTCATCAACACTTTTCAGCATACTCTGTGGACAAAGGTAAATATAAATCCTTTTTTCTGAACTGGATAGGCACAGAAACTTATGACATTTTGAGCAGTAACCTTGGTTCAAAGGGAATAGAAACTAAAACATATGATGAGTTAACAAAAGGTTTAACAGATTATTTTCTGGCAAAAACGCATGTTGTGGCTGCCAGACATGAATTTCATAAACCCACAATGCGTTCCGATCAAACTTACAGAGAGTAGATCACAGATTTACGCAGAGTTGCGAGGGAGTGTGAATTTGTTTGCAGCGCATCAGACTATAATCATGAGGAAATGATTCGGGATAAAGTTATAGTGAACACACCACATGATGTTGTTCGAATAAATGCACTACAAAAAACAAATCCCACACTCTCTGAAGTTATGTTAATTGCTGAGGCATTCGAGTCAACTGAAAAGAGAAAAATAAAAAAAATCAAAGGGAAATTATTCAATGGTGAAGTTTGCGTAGTGAAAGGAAATGAAAAAAACAAGAACAGAAAAGAGAAATGCAAAGCAAACAATGCAAGAGAAGAGTTGCTCGTTAAAATCTTGTTCAAGTTGTGGAATTTTACACACGCGGCAATACGGCAAGTTCAGGAAAGTTTTGTGTAGGAAATGTGGAAGAAAAGGTCATATTGCTTCCATGTGTATGTTTGCTAAAAGCAATATCAATCAAATAGATCAACAAGAAACAACAAATACGGAGCAAAACTCAATATCGCAAATTAATTCAATTTTGAATGTGGGAAATCTGCCGCAACGAGAAAACAAAAAAGTGTTCATAAACATTCTAGTTGATAATACGCAAGTTAAATTTCAGATGGATTCTGGAGCAACTGTTTCAGTGTTGACGCAAGACATTTATGAGAACTTAAATAAACCACAGCTGTATACATGTAAAAAGAAGCTATTTGATTATGGAAAAAACAAAGTAAAGACACTTGGTGAATTTTGTGCAGTGCTAAAGTGTGGAGAAACGAAAAGAACAGCAACATTAATAGTAGTATGCGTCTGGAATGGTCATAATTTGTTTGGCACTGATCTATTTGAACTTTTTGGATTTGAGATTCGTCAAATTGCCGTTATAAACAATGATTTTCAATTAAATGAAGTATTGGAGAAACATAGAATTGTTTTTGAACCTGCTTTAGGTACAATTAAGCAAGTTAAGGCCAGGTCGCATTTAAAACAGGGCGCTGTACCTAAGTTTTGTAAAAGTAGGCCGATTCCATTCGCACAATTAGAAAAATTTAAAACAGAAGCACAAAGATTAACTGATAGGGGCATTTGGAAACCTTTAAATTTAGTCAGTGGGCTTCGCCAATTGTATCGGTTACAAAACAAGATGGGTCTCTTCGCATTTTTGGTGATTTCAAAACTATAGTAAACAAGCAAATCGATGTTGATCAATATTCGTTGCCGACACGTGAGAGCTTATTTCATATGGTTCGATATGGGAAATTTTTTTCTAAGATTCATATGAAAGATGCATATCTTCAAATGGAGTTGGACGATGAAGCAAAAAATGTGTTAGTTGTCAATACACCGCTGGGGCTTTTTCAGTATCAGCGTCTACCTTTTGGTATTGCCAGTACACCTGTGTTATTTCAGAAGTATTTAGAACAACTTATACATGGTACAGAAGGGTGTGGAAATTACATTGATGATATCATAATCGCTGCTGAAACGGTTGACATACATCTTAAGCGGCTGGAGGAAATATTATCACTTTTAGCTGAAAATGGCATTCGTTGCATGCGAACGAAATGTGAGTTCTTGGTGGAAAAATTGGAATATTTAGGCAGAACCATCAGTGCAAGTGGTATTTTACCTGATGAGAGGTGTGTTCAGGCTGTAAAGCAGTTACCGCGGCCGACAAACGTTAAAGAAGTCGAAGCGTTTCTTTGGCTGCGCCTATCAATCACTTACGTAGAAAAGATATCAAATTTGTTTGAGGCACCGATCAAGAGCAAGCTTTTGAAGTTTTATAATAGAAGCAATTGAGTTGTCACATTTTCAAAAACATTTGCCTATCGTTCTTGCTACTGATGCATCATCTTATGGTAATGGAGCTGTCATTGCTCATCGACATCCGGTGGCTCGGAACGACCTATTGCATTTGCTTCAGAAACACTTAACACTTATCAAGCTCGTTATAGTAAAATCGAAAAAGAAGCACTTTCGATTATTTTTGGAGTTACACGATTTCATCAGTATTTATTTGGGCATAAATTTATTTTAGTCACGGATCATAAGCCTTTAGTAAGCATTTTCAGCCCAGATAAAAACTTGCCATCAATGTCTACACATCGTTTACAACGTTGGGCTATAATATTGATGTCTTATCAATTTGAGATTCAGTATCGTAGAACTGCAGATCACTCAAATGCTGATGCCTTATCACGTTTGCCTTGTGGACCAGATCCTGAGTTCGACAAGTTTGAATGTTGTCATCAAATAGAAAATTACGATACACCTATCAATTTCGAATTACTACGAATTACTTTACGAATTACTATTCACGTAAGGTGATTGGTACTACTTGTGGTATTTTCTTGTCAGCCGTCTTACCTGCATCATTTTGAAGCTGTTCATCTTGCTGAGATTTCGGATCATGTTGTTGATGTATTACTTGAACGTTCGACTGCTGAATAGTCTGTTGATGTTGCTGATGATATTGTTGTTGTGGCTGTTTGGGTTGCTGCTGTTGAATTGCGACTTGTTGTTGTTGTTTTAGTTGTTTAATTTGGCGTTTGGATTTTACGTCAATATAGCCATCATTAAAATCTTGGTCGCACTCCGAGTCTGGAGAGATGGAGCCCTCCGGAGGGAGAACTATCTCCTCGTCGTTAGTTGGGGAGGCAATTTCCATTTCATCCTCACTTGGGCCTACTGAAACGCGAGGGGAACTAGGAAGGGATGGCGGAGAGACCTTTTTCCTTTTATTAGAACGGGCGAGCTTGGCCACTAATGTAGCGCTTTGGGCGCTTAGCTGGTTCTCCAATTTGGAACACCGCTCTTGAAGTGTTTGAAATTATTGAAGCAGTTTTGAGTAATTCTCCTGTAGAAGCTCATTGAACTTTTTTAGTGCAATGAATTCCTCAGTGCTGACTGGAATTGGAGTGCAATGATCTTGGGAAATGCTTGGGGGCACTGGAATAACTTCATTATTTGCCATTTCCATCAAATTGCTAATTACAGATGTGCCTTTCAAACTGTCAATGCACAATTTAAAAAACACTGAACAGTTTGAAACTCACTGAACAGTTTGACAGTCACTGGAAAATCGATTTTGCACCAACAGTTTGAAAGTCACAAGTGACTCTCAAACTGTTACTTGACCAAGTGATAGTCAAACTGTAGTATTGGTGGTATTTTATACCAAGTATTTGGAACTTGAGTGCTTGAATACTTGAGTCTAAAGTACTTGAGAGCTTGAGTGCATGAGCACTTGAGACTTGAGTACTTGGGTATTTGAATTCTTGAAAAGTTGCACTAATGTAACTTGAAATAGTTGAGTTGCTAGTAGTTGAGATTTATAAAAATTGGATCTATTTATTTTTGAATCGTCCAATCGTCCTTCTTTTTCAATCGTCCCGTCCAATCGTCCTTTTTTTTTAATGGTTTTTTTTTTTTTTAGTAGGTGGAAAGCATCGAAAGCCACAGTGTGAGACTTGAACCCACTAAAACCACCTCTTAGGAATGCGTAGAGAATAGATTCCAAGCAATGGACCGTGAAGGTCCAGGGCTAGGAACCCCATTCCAGTATCAACGACGGGAGTGAAGAGCTTCGAAAAGATAGTACATAGTAGATATATCTAAGCCATGAAGTTTGTGTAATTTTGAAAGACGGACGGACTATTAATTAAGTTGAGACAACTTAATGGTATGAGAGGTAGTTACTTATACACACGTAGGAGGGGATTGCTGTAACCACGGTTGTAAAGCAGGATTACAGGAGGAGAGTGGGCAATGTCGTCCAGATGGAGGGATAGGAACTGAGGGGGTTTATGCTTCATTGTGAGTAATAGGTCGGTTGGAAGTTGATTTGTTTTTAGTAAATCAGGAGGGATGTTATGAGCTCTAGTGAAATAACGTCAGGCTTGTGACAGTAAATAGTCATCGACCGTTCGATATTGGCGGAGTTGTAGACATATTGGACAGAGTAGTGATGGCCGTTTGGCTTGCGCTTGTAGTTAATACAATCGCGGAGAATTTTTCTTTCAAACGCGCGAAGGCGTTCCATCTGAGCTGAAGAGATACCTGACCAGATGGGAAAGGAGTAGGTGAAAAGGGGGCGAATGAGTTGCTTGTAGCATAGGAGTTTTGTTTGAACATTAAGTTGGTTGTGGCGTCGAAGCGCATTTTTAAGGCTCAGATGGCGGAAGGACACATTCTTCACAACATAGTTAATGTGAGGAATGAAGTTATGTTTGGGAGAGAACATAACTCCAAGGTATTTGAACTTGTCAACGAGTTTAATAGGGGATCCATTAAGCATAAGCTTAATGTTAGAGGTTTTATAGCTCCTTGGGCGGTTGCGAGCATTGCCAGTGAAGGCGATAGCAGAGACTTTGAGGGGGTTGAGTTTGAGCTTCCACTTATAGTAGAAGCCAGAAAGATTTCTTAAGTGCTGGTTTAAGAAGTTAGAGACCCTAGGAGTGGAGGAAGATTTGGAATAAATTAGGCAGTCATCTGCGAAACAGAGTTGCTTGACATCGGGGGGCGGATCAGGTATGTCTGAGGTGTAAATATTAAAAAGTATGGGACCTAAGACAGACCCTTGGGGGACACCAGCAGCAACAGGAAATTCCCTAGAAAGGCTAGAACCAACACGGATCATGAAACTTCTTCCCGACACGAATTGGTAGATGATACTACAAAGGAGAGGGGGGAAATTGAGTTGGTGGAGCTTGAAGACAAGACCCTCGATCCATACGGTGTCGAAGGCCTTCTCAATGTCAAGACTCACAGCAACTGTTGGCTG